GATATTACTGTTCAGAGCCTGAAGAAATAATACAAAATATAATATTTATTAACAGTTAAGCTTAACATATATTTATATTATTATAAAATTAATGATACAATCTACTTGAATTTTTTTATAGTCTTTCCGATAATCGACAAATAAATTAAAGATTTAGAAATGAAATTATTGTATATAAGTAATTATATTAAGATAGATGCTTAACTAGAAATTAACTGAAACATAAAAATAAGAAATATTACATTTGCAGATATAAAAATTTTCGAAAATATATTATACATATATGACAACAAAAATATCTTTATTCATAATATTTTTGATAATGCATATGATAAAAATACTCTTATTCCTAATTATACTTTTGATAATATATTGCACAAAGTAAACCACATCCACATATGGCGAAAAATTACATGTTATCCGAGTTTAATGATACCGTTAACGTCATGTAGAAAGCAGACGTTTATATCAGCTTAAAAATATAATATAATATTAAATAAACATTTTTTTACACGTAATTTTAAATACGTTAAATTTAATAGAATATTTTTATGTGTTTTAAATAACATTCTAAAGTAGATTATTCGTATAGATTTTAGATCGGCTTCTTTTTATGGCTGTTATAAACTGAACTTTATTATACCGTGGCGTAATTTTCAAAGCACATGGCTTTTGACATTGCTTTAGTAAAAATAGTAACATCTTTTTTGTTTCTGAAGATGTTTGATACCGTTAATCCGTCACATTTGAAAATATATTATACCTTTCAAATCACAAGGTCTTTGATTAAGGAAATTAATAACTTACGCTGCAACAGATATCTGAGAACTGTGATCTATTACCTTTTGTCTAATCCAGTTGTCAAAGAAAAGTCGAGTAGATTGGAGGAGCAGAAGAGGACCGTTTCTCACTATTTTCGCATGAGTTACAATTTATATAATAACGCACAAATTAGAAAATTGGTCTGAGTTAATATGTTAGAGAATATTTTCGCAACATACACGGCGTACCAACAATTTATTAAATAGACATTAAATGTGTACTGAATTTATTATGTATATGTATACCACAACGTATGCAGAACATTGAAGTAATATTTACAGGTCAATGTCGGTAAAAAGGTATATCGCAAACGTTGAGACCATCGAGTGGATTAGTCTAGTGACAATAAGCAGAGATAGAAAATCTATGTATTATATCTATAATATTTTCTAGTGAACTTTATAATATGATTTGTTTGATTTATATGAACCTCTCTATTCTAAGCTGCAACTGTATACATTGTACCATGTTCTTAATATTTCTATCCCCTTTTTAGATACGGCATTACATCGATACATTTCGGTTTATCATGTACTCGTATAGCTAATTTTGTTAAACGGCAACTGAAAGTATATACAGGTATATGTATACGTAGAAGAAATACTTTTGTTTAATAATGCTTTTCCAAATCCACAAAGAACTCGGTTGGATGCGGCATTTGCTTTGATCTTGTTACGTTTAAAGCCAGTATGGTATCGAGTAATGGTATAGCGAGTGGCACCGTCACAAAACTTGCTGCACCCGTGCTTGTAAAACCTGGTAAAAAGGAATGGTCTCTCTTTGTATAATTATTCAGGGGAGCAAACGTTCGGTTTACTTATTGTTAGGCGTACTTAAGTAGAGCAGTATGAATATCCGACGGTTCTCGGACATATTATCCAATTATCACGGTGCTTCGTCAATAAACGCCAATCGTAACGCACATGCTCAATCAGCATCCTAAACTGCAGATATTCCAAGTTTTCTTAGACAGAAAAGTAATTTTCTGCATAGTGGCACACTTTACACGCTTACTTTTTTAGTTTGCAAATGGAAACCAGTTATTTTAACGAGACATATACATACATATATGCACCAATAAAAGTTGATAGAACATCATAAAAATTATTTAAACTTCTCATACATTTAAACAAGAATGCAATCTATTAATAAATTACAATTAATGTATCGTGTTGTTTTTGTTTTTCGTTTAATGTAGGATGCGTGACTTGAATTAACTGTATAGAATAATTCAAGTGACGTAAAAATCGCCAACAATTTCATAAAACTTAGAGTGGCGCGCAAAAGTTTTCGATCAGTAATGATTTTTGCGACCCTTTGCACAAGTAAAAAGTAAAGTTTACGCTTTCATAGGTGGCAATTTAACATCCGTGGTAATATGATATAAACATTTTATTTCACAAACATTATATTATTATCTATAAACTGAAAACAGCGTTGGTTTTTGACTGTAAAGTGTTGCACGCCACTGCGAATCATAGAAATTCTTATTAATCCTCTTGCGACTTTCTAGAACATCGCTAATAATTTGCGAGTTATCTGCGGTAGAATGGTACAGTAAGTATATCAAGCATTGCACAATAGAAAAGTGTGGATTTGTTAGACGACAACTGTGTCGGCTACAGGCCGACAGACGATAGCAACAGCACGTTAAATCGAAAATATTGGGTATCATAAACATCCATTGGCTGGTTTGTGCTTGTTGAAGCGGAATTCTTGAATAACCCGAAGCGAAGTTCCCCGTTTAACTGCATGATTCATACGATATTCTCTTGGCGTGTCAGTACTAAAGAAATATACGTTATAATATGCCGATTTAAATGAAATCAGTAAGAGGAGATGTTCCGCAGCTGGACGATATGCGAGAAGTCTTACAATTTTAATTTCGCTTGTGTCGATATCGTCGATATTGTGGTATAAAGTTATACGGTGGTAATGCTTACGTTTTGCGCAGCACATCCGCTTTTGTAAAACAGACGAGATATAGTTATGTACGACGGTTATATAACATAGCGCTGCAGTTTGTTGTCATATGTCAATGATGTATATTTTTTAACTACGAAATGGAAAAAGTTATTGTTTAGAAAGTGATAAATAGTTATAATTGATTTTCGGTAGATCTATTAATATGGTGATGGATGTTTGATTTGAAAGAGGCATGTCTACGTGACACAGAACAATATCAAGAAGTAATTACGATGATGTAAGTACAAATCCTCTCCAAAGCTATCAATTTGAACTTTAGACCGACAGAAAATTAATAATAAAGTTATACTAAGTGATTATTTCATTATTTTATTTATCAGAAAAATAAGACAATTGTAGTGATTTGTTTAAGATGTTTTTAATTAAGAGGTAATCGTAATGAAAAATTTGTTAATTTCTTGACTAACAATAATCATAGTAAAAATTGTTTATTATGTAACTAAAGAATAATCAGATTGAATATTCTTCTGATTGTGAGTTACTTAGATAATCATAAACTGTCTTTAACTTGCCTGTACATAGCAGCTGATCCAAACAACCATGTGCCACCTATGTGCCGTTCAGTTGATTACAGTTGGAAATCCGTTTCTTATGGTAAGAGGCCAGAACATCCATTGAAATTCATCTTGTATATGTATATACATATATGTATAACATGTATATATGTATACACATTCGTGTCTCAATCCAATCACTACAAAGATCAACAACTGATTACAATGCTTGGAGAAGTACAAATTGTGTGTCTCTTGATTTATAGAGGAATTACAACATTTATTTACAAAAAATTGCTTTTAAATATTTCACTTACTTATAATTATTTTACATATAAACATTTTTAACTTTGTTTACCTCTTGCTTCGTACCAAGTGTAATTCATGGCAGGTTCGTTTGATATTATTAATTGTTCAAGATGTAAACATGATATTATCATGATTTTACATATATTTTTTACATGTACCAATTGTTCAATCTAAAATTATTTTAAGTTAACAGTATTAATAGTCATTTGTAAAATATAATTGGAATTATACAATTTTATTTTTTAAACAACCATTCTTTATATGGAATATCTTGAAATGAGAAGATTATAAACTTGGGTTCTGCAATTTTTCATAAAAATAAGAAAATACACATTTGTAAATGCTATTTTAGAAAATTATTATTAAATATACTTATTTTATTTAAATTTATAATTTATATATTATAGATATGCGTCTGTCTTTAAAAAATTTACGATTATTACATGGATCAAATGTTACACAATTCAGAAGATCATGTAAGAAATACTACCTTATCTATTCTTATCTATGTATATTACACAAAATTTTTAACAATTAAGAATAACATTTCAGAATCTGACAATTTTAGACACTTTAATTCTGAAACATCTTTCAATACAAGTCGTTAACAAAATTTCGTTGAATAATATTCAACAAATCAAATATCAATTTGTTGTAAGTCTAAATTGTTATCCTACCTTTTTAAAAAGATTGATAAATTTATAATATTGAAATATTATACAAAATGTTTTATAACAAAACACTTGACTTATCATGTAATTTCAATAAACTGAATAAGTTTTTAATTCTTTTTCCATATATTCATGTGTACTTTATTTTTAAACGGCAAAGATATCGTAATATGTTTTAGTTTATCCAAAATACTTGAAATTTTTTCTAACATCAGCTTTAGGTTTGTGTTGATATTTCGTGAAAATTAATTGTTTGTATGCCACTTGTTACATTTTTTGAAAAGCTACTTTTGTACGGTAATAATTTACTCGTTTTCATAAGAAAAGCGTAAAGAGAAACGAAGAGAGGCATAAGAAAAAAAGCATATCTCTTAAGCAAATAACGTCTGTAGTGATAGAACTACACACGTTTAATGAATTAGTATCTATTATGGTATAAATAAAAATGCTAACTTAGATAAGAATAGATAAGCTGGTCTCACCGTCAATGAAAAAACCTGCAAATTTCGAACTATTTTTATCTTATAAGTTTAGAAGCTATAGGTGATTTATAAGAAGAAGGCTATACAATGTCAATTGCAGTTATATCTCATGATTACAGAATGTAGCGCGACTAAGAAACGTGACTGTTTACTCATAAATGTATCATGCTTTATTACGCGAAATTGTAGAATATTATCTTAACGTTTTACGCGATGATTTTCCTTTTGAAACTATCTCTAAGAGAATACACGATAAGGTCTGTGATTATTCTGGCGTGAATATTCGACAAGATATTCGATCGTTTCGGACAGTATTCCTCAGTCTCGCTAACATAAAATGTCTTTTTACGACAATCACTACTATCACATCAATAAAATAACTCTGTCCATTGTCGGCCAATGGCCGTTTCAATCGCGACTGAAGAGTAACATGATGTTCACCATTACAGTGTTGTTCGTTTTCACATTAGCGGCCTTACAGGTGTTTAGAAATATACACGACAGCAATACAGTAGAACGTGTGAATTGATGATGTATTCCTGATTTTCTGCAGCTTTGGGGTTTGGTAGCTGGGATAATGGATTTGAACATCGTTATGGAAAATGTTCCGGCATTGCTAATAAATAATTTTGTCGTCATAAAGTTAATAAATTGTTTGTGTAATAAATATAAAGTTTGTACATTTCATTCTGTGCGAAACGAATCAAATCGTTTTATAAATATAAACCGAACGATTTCTTCGAGGTGCAGATGAAAGAATTGCTGGAGCACGTCGAAAAGACTTGGAAAATTATGCACTTGAGGCCTGAGAGTAAAATATTAAGGCTTTACGCCGAAGAAAGCAGGACCTCTACAGTACGCTATTTGAGTAAGTTGTCATCACTTTATATTAATTAAGAATTTGTATACCGCTTAATACCACAAGTCTAGCAATTACGAAAGACTGATATTAGTTCTCGACATCACTTCGAATCCATTTTTATAAAATTAGGTTTTACAAACTTTTAAAATAAACATTTGTCTCTTTCTTTCACCTTTCGAAGTTTCATGAAGTGTGATTCAAATGAATTGAAATATTTAGTGTTTCTTGTTTTGAGATTTTTGCGCTTCACATTCTCATTAGGCTTTTATGTAAAAGAATTTTTTATTAATCAATTAAATTATCGTCACTGTTGAAGAAATATAAAGGAACAAAAATTAAAATTTCCAGTTGCTCTTTATTCAGTATGGATCTTATATTGTGTAACACCGATTGCCATTAACCGAATCTATTTACTCTTACCAACGAACAAAACTTATTCGGCCAGGTTTCTGTATCGCATTGAACATGTTCTCGACATCGAAAAATATTACAACCTGTTGATGCTTCACGGCTTTATCGGCATATTTTACACAGTCTCTGTACCGATAGCTGTCGATTGCTTGTTCGTTCTTTGCACTCAGCATGTCTGCGCATTGTTCAAGTGTATAAAGTAAATCACTCGCGCAAACAAAGCGGCAGTATCAAAAGAATCTCTTTTGGACTAATATTTTTAAGGAAATTATGCTTTTACAAAATAGATACAACATAGAACTTATACGAGGTTCGGATTTTGTGTTGCTCAACCCAAATATCGCGGACGACGAAGCATACCATGACCTCATCAATTGCATCAAATTGTACAAATATGCTTTAAAGTTAGTGCTGCTCTTAGATACGTTTTGCATAGTTTGAAAATAATTATGAAGATTTATAAAAGATACTCATTGTCAGATAACATTGCTTTTCAACATAATATTTATGGCAAGTTAATATAGCTTTATGTTCAATTTTATATTTATAAAAGAGCTTTATATTAAATTTTATATATTGACAAAGCTAACGTATCTGCGTTTTATTATTTTGTGCAAAGATTATCTGATCTGCTCTCATCTGCATTTGCAACAGCTTTCTTTTTTACGCTAGGAAACGTAGTTATATCTTTAAGCTTTGAAGCGGCTAAGGTAAACATTTAATTAAGTCTGGCATCTCCTAATAATTGCCTTTTTATCTGACAAATATCTAATAAACTTTATTATTTAAGTTGATAATAATCAACAATAACGTTGATGAAATCATCAGAATTCTCGCTGGTAATTTAGCGCAATTGCTGCATATATATTATTTGAGTTCAACGTCCCAAAGATTGCTTGATCATAGTAGCGAACTTCAAGAAGTGTTGTAAGCATCTGTTTACAAATGACCTTCAAATTACTTTTACGCGGAAAAATGTGTAAGATATATAAAAAATTTATATGTTAAATTCGTTGTCAGTTACAGCTGCGATTGGTATAAGATTTCAATAAGATCCAGACAACTTTTGAAATTCACATTAATGCGTACTACTAAACCGTGCCAAATAGATGCTGGTAAAGTATTCGTAATGTCAATGGAGAACTTTAGCTCGGTATGTGCATAATAATATCTCCCTGATGATTTAGAATATAGTAACTCTTGTATTTTATATTTTTAGATTTTGAAAGTAACCGTATCATATTTCACAATGATTACATCAATACAATGAGATCGTAATTACGAATGGGGAATTCTTGAACACCGTTATTGCTCTTAGCCTAATTGTTTAATGTAATAAATTCATTTCTAATCCATCAATAAACCACAATTCTTAGAAACTTTAATTTATTGTTTATGTTAATTTTTTAAATCTTAATGTAACAAATAATAAATGCAAATATAATGAAAAAATAATGCAATCAGAAGTTTATATTAATGTTTACGAAATACGAATATAATGAAAAAACTTAAATATTTTTAAGCCGAGTTACGGAAGTTTTTCGTTTACGTCCTAGTATTGCAAGTGGCGTTACTTGAATTTGTTTTTTTATTTTTATTAACAGCCAGCTGCTCGCGATAGTTGACACTTGAGCACATGTTATTCCGTTTTGATGCAGATTCATATCATATCATATCATCGGTTGATATATCGGATCGTTCATCATGTAGCGAGTAACATGAATGGATAAAGTATATCTTACCATATAAGTTAGGAAAGTATAAACCTAAATCAATGACATAAAAAGAAAGATTATTATTAACGATTGTAAATATACATATAATCATTAAAAGATAAAGATTATAAATTCGTATAATATTATTATTCTAAATTTTTCACAATACCTTAGAAGTGTAAGGAGTTCAATGACGTTCCTCTATTAAAACTAAAATACTTCCAAGATGGTTTATTATACACATAACGTTCAGATTTTGTTAAAATATTAGTTGCAAATCTATTGTTGCGCGCGCCGCGCTAGCTCGCTGCCGTCTTTCTATCTCGCGCACTCGTCGCACTCGCGCCGCGGGGAAATAAAGGAACACTTTCTCTAGCTAAGGAGACTGAAAAGCGCAAGAAAAGCTTTGTTGCACGACTGATACTGAAAAGGTGTCCGTCAAGCCCATACCGCACTGCGTATTGCGAATTGGATTGAGATTGCGGATCACATTTCAGCGAATTAGACGAGACAGCCTCGTATCCGATTGGTTGAATTGCGATCCGCGATCCGCAATACGTAGTGTGACACGGGCTTTAGACTCGTTTGCCAGAAGACAGTCTGATAAATCAATCGTTCCGTTTCAAGGGACACTTCCGCAGCTTTTTCTCGCCGCGGCAGTCTGACTGGACAGTGCTGCAGCAGGAGCTCACTCTCACTCTCTCCTATGCAGACTCCAGGGTCCAGAGCGGTACCTTGTCCTCCCCAAGCGGCTGCTGCGGGTTAACCGGGCCCGTTCTTCAATCGGACCCAATCTGCTCTTCCGTGGAGGGCTCATCCACATCCTTCCGAAGGGGGGTTAGCCAGACTCTCCCCTTAGATCCTGGTCTTCGGGATGGTCGCAATCCGTCGGGCACAACACGACGAAGAAAAATAGTATTACATAAACCTGTAATTTTACATCCTGACCATTTTGTTTGTGTGATTTGAATTTTCTTGCTGTTTTCTTATATGTATTTTCATAGAATAACGTGTATTCGAAGAAATTTTACAAATAAATTTGAAAATACGAATTACAACGGCGTATATAATTAATAACTATTTGACAATGTCAATGATATGAAAACCGTATTAGAAAATTTACCGCGTCACGACGGTATATTTGAGTACTTAATATAATAAAAGTAATTTTGCGACGAAGTAAAATGTGTAATATCTCTGGCAAAGTATTGACTCTAATAATTTTATATAGCGAATAATGAGAAGAATCAAGGCTGTATGTTTAAGGAAAGTAGAAAAATATTCCGTTGAGAAAAATGCAGTTACATTTTATAAGTGGATTATTCGAAAAAAAATATATATGATAAAAATAATATATTAAAACAGTGAAGGATTAACTTTTTTCTCGATTTAGTAAAAATAGTTATAACCCAGAGTGCAGTTACTGGAAACACTACATGCAATTAATTAATTAATATTACACGTAAAACTGCTTAACACTTCATAGGATCAATTCTTTCAACGATCAGTTAGCATTCAGTAAGTAATCAAATCGTTTCAACGTTTATCGTGAAGCTGTTTCGTACTACTACTCTTTATCTTATAGTTTTGCTTGGTTTATAACGCGAAAGATATAGAATATCAGTCGCGGTTACATTTCATCAGTTACAAAGGGCTGCGCTAAGAAAAATACAACTCATTGCTTATAAATACGTAATGCTTTGTTACGCGGAAACGTGGAATATTATCTTAGTGTCGTTTTTTCCACGTTACGGAGTTTCTTTTTAGAGACAGTCTCCAAGGGAATACGGAATAAGCCTTGCGATTAAGCGTGAATATTCGACGAGAAATGTGATTGTAAAATCTCGTGAAGTATTCCTTTGCTACCGTGCTATAACAAAATGTCTTTTTACGACAATCACTACTATTATTTCAACAAAACTTCTCTATGCATTATCGGCCAATGGCCGTTTCAATCGCGACTGAGGAATAACGCGATGGCAGCCGTTACGGTGTTTTTCATTTCCAGCTTGACGGCCCTTGAGGTGGTTAAAGATACGCACTGCGGCAAACGTTAGAGTCGAACTGATGTTTTGTTCCTGATTTTCTGCAGCTCTGGGGCTTACTAGCCGGGATTACGGATTTGAGCATCATCATGGAGAACACTTCGCCATTGTTAGTGTGTGTTTTCATCATTGTGAAATTAGTCAACTGTTTCATGAATAATTATAAAGTTCGTACGTTATAGCTTTCTTTTATACAAGACGTTAATAGTTTTATAATTGTAAACCGCACGGTTTCTTCGAGTTGCAGATGAAAGAACTTCTGGAGAATATTGAAGAGACGTGGAACGTAATGCACGTAGGACCAGAGAATAAAATATTACGGCAATATGCGGAGGAAAACAAAATCTTGTCAAAACGATACGCAAGTGAGCTGCCTTTATTTTATAAGAATTAAGCACTTTTGTCATACTGACTTATTGTTAGTACTAAAAATTTAGTAATGCATAAAAAATTATTATTTCATACCAGTATGACCTTTTTGGGGAAAAAAGTGTAAATTTAATTGTATAATTTTGCAGATATAATTATACATGATATTTTTGTTTTAAAAAAAATTGCGTTTTTTTTGTTTTTATATAAGAATTCTTTTTTCATATCATTATGAACCCATTCTTAGTCAAGTATTTTTTTAATGCCTAACAACCTTCCACGGCGTTTCCGTAGAGAGAAAACAAAACGAACGAATATTTTTAGCCAAACTTGCCTTGTCCTTCTCTATTCTTCTTTTTCTTTTTATTCGAATTAGATATTATAAAGGACCGCAAACAGAAATGCTCGGTACTTTTATTTAAGAAATTTTTATTGGACCTTTATTTTTAACATCATGATTTATGAAGCCATGTCAAGAGAAAGAAGTTACGTATTGCAGTTGGCCTTTACATGATGTGGCTCTTCTATACTACGCCACCGATCATTATTACCGGGATATATACGTTTTTACCGACGAACGAAACGTACTCGGCCAGGTTTCTATATCGTATGGAACACGTTCTCGACATGGACAAATATTACAACCTATTGATGCTACATGGGTTTATCGGCGTATTTTACATAGTGTCTGTGCCGATAGCTGTCGATAGTCTGTTCACACTCTGTGTTCAGCACGTTGGCGCGTTGTTCACATGTGTAAAGTAAGTGTTTATTATTGTACGAAGCTGTCGCTATGAAAGGGTTTTGAAATACTATTGTATTTGGAGCGAAAATTATATTTTTTTCATTAAACAGATACAACTTAGAGCAAGTACGAGGGTCGAAGGTAGTGCTCGATCCGGATATCGCAGACGATGAAGCATACCATAGCATAATCAGCTGCATCAAATTGTACAAACGTATCTTAAAGTTAGTGTCAGCCGCTTTTAAATACGCCTTGCACGGTTTAAACACAAGAATTATGTAAAATATAAAATACTCATGAAAATAACATTAAGATGTAACTTTCTTGCGTAATGTTTAACTTAATTGGAAACTTTATATTTAATTGTCTGTTACTAAAATAACTTATTTATGCGTCTCAAACTTTATATTGCTTAATTAATTACATCAGATTTGTGTTTAAATAGATTAATATATTTGTTTTATTATTTTACATGGAGATTTTCCGATCTGCTCGCATCAGCCTTCGCAACATCTTTTTTATTTCTGCTGGGAAATGTTGTTGTTTGTTTAAGCTTTGGCTCAGCAGAGGTAAATATTCGAGACAGATCTGAAGTCTTCAGATAACGATTACGTTTTCATCTAAAAGAAAATGCCTAATAAAATTGGGTGTCATTCTAGTTGGTAATGGTGGACATTCAATTTGACGAAATCGTTAGAATTATTGCTTCTAATGTAGCGCAGTTGGGACATATATATTATTTGAGTTTAACTTCTCAACGATTAATCGATTACAGCGACGAGATTCATAACATAGTGTACGTATTTTTTCTTAGATATATAAAAATACTTTTAGTTACTTATTTCCTATGTTTAAGGGGTCATTCTCATTCAATGGCCTAAAAGACTTGACTGCTTTTTGAAAATGTATTGTGAAGAAACTATACAACCGATTGAAATGAAACCTTTTTTCTTTTAATAGGTTTTGTCTTTCAATTTTCATAGTTAAAATGACATCTCTCCTCTTTATGAGCTCTCTTGGTCCACCGAATTTAATACGTTGAAGATAATATAAAAATCGCGAAAAGTTCCCGACGGTCCTGTGATTAAGATATTTTAATAATTCTTTTTCTACCAGTATTCTACATTGGTAATCGCAACTGCTGAACCTATATTTAAATTGAAATATTCAAATTTAGCAAAATAGCGGAAGTTTTAATTTTCAGAATTTTTTCCGAGCACTTTATAAAAAAGGTTAAATAATTGGTAAATATAAACAAATTGTGGTTTACGAACTGTAAAAAAAGTGTTAGTAATAATTGTGCAATGCTACAAGTCAATCGGTCAAGCTGTTTTTACGGGATTGATTTCCTATGTATATAATCTAAATGTTTTCTTACCAGTCGTTAATCCGTTATTCCAGGATCATAAGGTAGACCTTTTACTTCTTCGTACGTATTACACAATAGATGTACTGACACAATAAATTAGAAATTGATCCTTTGAAATGAGCATAATGCACTTGACTGTCATTCTTTCTGCATGATTTTTATGCTCAACGTTTCGGAAAACGTTTATTATCTCAAAATAATTTTTCTTTCCAGAACTGTTTAGGGATTAATTTTATATTCATAAAATGCAATGCAAAAATCAATTTGTTTTATCTTTCCAATGAGAATGGCATCTTGAATCAGGTTTGCGCTAATTAAAAAAAAAGTTAAATTAGGAAGAAATATGTCGAAGATCAAAAACCTTTTGCGATTATGTATTTCGTAATTTATCTGTCTTATATGCGTATTTAACGATTGGAATGACTAAGGGCCAGTTTCACAAACGTCGTTTAACTGCTAACCCATGGTTAATTGATCCTCCATCTCTTCTCGGATAACAAAATAGAGAAAGATAGGAAGTCGACTGAACTCTGGTTAACAGTTAACCGATGTTTGTGAAACTGGACCTTAGTAGTCAATGTCGCAATTGATAATGACGAGTACGAAGGCGCGGACTACAAGGAAATTTATGTGTCAAATTTATTATCAGTTACAGCTGCAACTGGCACTCAATTTCATTAAGATCAAGAAGTCTATTGATATTCACATTAATGCGTACTACTAAACCGTGCCAAGTAAAAGCTGGAAACATGTTCGTGATGTCGCTGGAGAGCTTTAGTGCGGTATGTACAAGCGTGACATTACTTCGATGATAGGCTGCATCGAGAGAAAACTTTGTGATATTATTTTCAGATTTTAAAAATGACTATGTCTTATTTTACAATGCTCACGTCAATGCAGTAACAATCAAGTATAATGGATAAGTAAAATCGCGTGTTAAATAAATAAGCTAACAATAGTTATAGGTATTGTATAATAAATTGATATCTTATTTATTTAACGTGTATCAAATATAATAATTAAAACATTTTTCTAGCACCAATCGAATGTAATAAATGTTTAAAGAACGTTTTGTTATATGAGTTACTACTTCTTTATATAAAATGATTTATGTGTAATAAAATTATGTATAATAACTTTTATGTATGGCACTTGGAAGTGTTGGTTGGTAATAAGCAATAAATATATGTATGTTCATCTCACAACATCATTACGTAGTGAGAACTGTTAATAATTTCTTCAAACTCATTTAGTAAACCGGATATACTATATAATGTTGATCTACTTAAAAGTAATTAAGGAAACTACTTAGAAACTGCAAAACGACGGAGATTTTACAATCTATTAATTATTGAGAAATAAAATATTCTCTAGCCTTTTAAACGATAATATAAAATTACATACTTGAATTGTTTGTATCGTGTTAATCTTTTAGCTGAAAGACATACTGTGTAGAGAAAGGCATACAAACTGTTGTTAATGCAAGAAAGATTTGCGGATGTGGATCTTACAATTCCTTTTACCAGAAAGTTTTGAACCGAAATAAAATAGAGATATAAGTGGATTAATTTTCTTCTTTGTGCCCCATAGTGGCGTAGCTCGTGCATACGTTCCATGAAATCGATCGCGCGTCTTTTAACATACCGTCATCAGCCATGCAAATTTCTGTCTACCGTTATACCCGGATATTCACCAAGGGAATACGGGACAAACGAAAGATTTACGTTCAAGCTGATCCCTGCCGTGAAAAGTTTACTGCCTGCTGCAGACGCATTCTAGTTTTCGGTAGAGAGTCGAGATGGACGTGCAGCATTACAAAATCTACCAGCTCTTTATGTCGTGGATCGGTCAATGGCCGGAACAGTCTGCCTTCAAGAGATTCTTCTTCACCTTTCATCTCACCTTTGTCGTTTTCAGCCAATTTTGTTTGCTGGTTTGCGCGTTGACGAATCGTTGACTGATAATTAATTCCCATGATCATTATTTTAATTACAGTGCCTACAGAACAATATAAGACATTATTTTTTATTTTTTATTAATTGTCACTATAAACCGATATAAAGATCTTCTTACGTATTAAGTATTATATTAATTGACGAATTATAATAAATAAAATTATTCGAAATTGTTTCTATAATTATAATTCTGGAAACCAAACGTTATTTCCATCTCTCTTTTTTGGTAATGCCTTCTGTTTTTCAATAATATTTTACTTTTTAGCAAACACAAACCATTTCTTGTTTTGTGCCAGATACTCAGCTTGGTGGCAGCGTGGCAGGATTGGAATCTCGTCATCGAATGCTCATCCCCTATCATCATTCACTTATTGTGTATCATAAAATATCTAAATTGTCTCTTCAATAACCGCAAGGTACGTGAATCGAAATCTTCATACACGTATTGCTGAAATGCATCACATAAATCTGAACTAGTTTAAGAGCCTTTTTACGAAAATGAAGAGCAGCTGGGGATTAGCGACCTTCGATGCGCAAATACAAATTTTAACAGCCTACACTAACGAGGGCAAAACATTAGCTAAGGTATACGCAGGTGAGATATCTTGAAAGGCATTGATATCTCCTTTGCGTCTAAATTTTCAAGCGCGTTCCTAAGGTAAACGATTAAGAGAATTATTCCGAATTTTTATAGTTATAATGTACAGTTCCACATTCATGTATATGACTTTGCCCGTCATGCCGTCCATCGTGGCGTCCTTCACGAGCGCGAATCAAACGCAAATTCACGGTTTGCTATATAACGTGGAGGCTATCCTCGACACGGAGAAATATTATTACTTCATCTTACTGCATTCCTATTACACCACCTTCTTTCTGATGACTATCCCGATAGCAGCGGACTCCATGCTGATAGCTTACGTGCAACACGCTTGCGGTCTTTTCCAAGCGATAGGGTACGCTTTCGCGAAGACGTCGCGAGACAATTCAATAGCAGCAGCTAGCTCGAAATTCTGAATGCTAATATTAATTGTTACTCGAATTTCACGTTAGTATCTATTTAAGAAATGTTCTAACGTCTTGATGATTTTTCTTAGATATCAGCTGGAAAATGTGAAACGGAATGGTGACCTCGATATTAATATTTGCCCACTGCACGAAGACGACGAGCATTATCACAAGATTAGCGACAGCGCTGCGAAGCACAAAGAAGTTTTACAGTAGGTGTCACAGTTAAAAATATTTCGAGTAGATCGATTTTAATATCGAAATTGCCACACAATATGAAATTCGAAATACTAAAAATACTAAATTGCTGCAGATTTAATTTCGAGCAAAAGCTCTGCTCGAAATATTTTATTGAAAAGATAATAAAATTTTACTAAAATATATTTGAAAATCTCTCTCAATTGATCCCACTTGATTATCATTTTGATATTTCGACAATTTTCCAATACAATATAACATAGTTTTCAGTTAAATTTAGTAAATGTTATATTTAATATTTCATAATTTTTTAATTACTTTTCAACAGTATACTCCAGCTTTCCTTATAACAGTATTACATTGAATTTTATGTGAAAAATTATGATTTAATTTGGTACATTCAGTAATTTTTCAATTGTTATTTCACTTTTTTACACACATCGATCTTATAGTACTTTCAAAATTTCCATCAGGAAGTGGAGAAAGGTTTGATGCGAAACAAATAAATTGCGATGAGTATTTTTTGCCATCAGGTTTGTCGAATTATTGGCGTCTTCATACAGTATCTCCTTTCTTCTACTAACAGTACTGAATGTGACAGTTATGACGTTCAGCGGAGTACAGGTTTGTGCGTAAATTATTGTGAATTACAATGCATACCTATCGAATTGCTGCGTATTAAGATGCCTGTTCATTGAGAATTTTTAAGTATCGTTTCAAGATTACAGAAAAGTTTACCGATTTTATTATTTTACTTATTATAAGATTTTATTGTAAGAAATATATTGCACTAAACGTCGATTCAAAGAGCCGGTGGTTTATTTAAAAAGTAGATTGAACTTTTCCGTCATTTTGTATTTTATCTTAATTATTTTAAAAGGATTGCATTTACCAGAACGACTTATTAGTTTCATTTGTCTCTCAATCAGACAGTGAACAACCGTCATCAGCCTGCGGAAGCGATCAGATTCCTAATGACGGGCTTATGTCTGGCAATGCACTTTCTCTTCCTGAGCCTGCCGGGACAGAAGTTGATAGATCACAGCTCTAACATGCATAAATCCATGTAAGCGTGTAGCTACACATTTTTTAACGTACTCGCGGTATATTTTCTCAAACAAAATCGATACATTGTCTTTGAGAAATATTGAAAACTGTAAAGTGTAGCAACAGATATGTGGAAAAAAAGTGATATATTAACAGCTTTAACCCACTTGAAAATAATCTTGTTAAATTATAGTAAAATCTTATTTATATTCGCCACAATATATGAAAAAAAACAAGTACGTATCCGAACTAAAACTGCACGAAATAACAGTTTTCAATAAAATTTGTTACTATTTGAATAAAAATTCAGCCAAATATTCAATAATTTGGTTACGGGAGAATATATTACGAGTTTGTTATCAAAGAACTCTCATATTTAAGGGCGGTATTCATAGTCAAATTTTAAGATCGCCTTAAGATCATCTTTGGATACTTCGTAGCCAATAAAATGTTCCACACAGTATCTTTAGATAAGTTCAAGTCTCAATTATAATCTGACTATGAATACAGGCTTATTAAGATATATTTCGCGCAACAGATAACAGAGATAAATACAAGGTGTAGTAACAAATAAATATTCTTTCTCGCAGTTACGCTACGAAGTGGTATGCTATTTCCCTGAGAGCAAGAAGATTGTTGAATGTAATGCTGATGCGTTGCAAAATACCATGTCAGATGACGGCCGGGAAAATGAGCGTTATGTCCTTACGATGTTTTAGCGGGGTGAGGAAAAGAATTGATATTCTCAAGAATTTTACAATTTCTTGCTAAGACATTGCATAAGAAAAAAGTCTGAATTATACGCATTAATGAAGAAAATTGAAAATGTGCTAATACAGGCTGGATCTTTTGTGCCTATTAATACTTTCCGCGTCAATTCATGTACATTTTTCTGACATTAGGATTTTTAGCTTTGTACTGACCCTCTTTTTACTTACTTGGATTGTTATTATAACGATAAAAAATCTCTCCTACTAATTGTAAATTAATGCAGTTTGTTCGAAACATAATGCATAAAATTAATATAAGGTGAACATATAATAATTAATTGTAGTACACAATCGTTTGTGCAATCCGTATCATCCGCGTGTAAATAAATTGTTCTTGTACAGGTCGTGCAAGCATCTATGTCTTATTTCACTGTACTAACTTCTGTGCAATAATCACTATTCCGATGTTGACGACATGGCTATCATATCTGACTACGAGGCTTCTATGTGCTATCATATACTTCAACACTGATAACTTGCTTACCACAGATAATGTTAATTCGTAATTAGCTTTGTAAAATACCGCAGATCAATAACGATGATCAACGATAATTGTCGCGTTTAAACTTATGAGAGAAGCTTGCCATTTGTTTTGTATGCGTTATTGCACATAGCATAAAAGTGACGATGCATCTACGCTAATTACTTTTCAATTTTCTTACTTAAACAAAATTTGTATCACACTTCTTCAACAAAAATAATCTTTCTAAAAAGTGTTAATCTGCATAGCTATGTATTTCAATTAGTCAATAGATGTAAGCTAATAAAATCCAAGCTTCTGAATTACATAAAGAAGCCTGCGACAATTTCGACGTATATCGTTTTGTGATATTTTCAGTTTAGTTTTTCTCTAATTAACGATTTTTATCAATTATTGTGTAAAATAATAATTTTATATTAATCAAGACATAATTTGTTCCTGAAATGTGAATTCATGAATAGATACGTTTTACGTTAGTTTTGTTAACAATTTGTTGTATATTTATAAACTAATTTCATCGTTTGATAAAAGCTGAGTCAACAAATTAGTTTCAAGCTTTGTAAGGATCCGTCACCAATTTCTACGAACGAAAATGTAATCCGAAGAAACACTTGACGGGCACGATATTACCAGAAGGCGCCCTTAAACTCGGCAATATTCCGATAATGACAAAGTTCTCAGTGTAAGGTATAAGCGCCGACTATAACACGCACCGGCATAAAATCAATCGTAAAAGAACACAGATCTTTCGAGGATAAGTGTGTGATCGTCCAAGCCTTTCATCATTCTAATGGGATAAGCCAGTCATGTAAATACTCGCAATTTCTCATGACTCACTGTGCTGCGACTCTCTGAGAGAATTTTTTATTAGACTGAAAATTGTAAGAGGCGACATCGATGCAGTTCAGTAGTCGAAACTGAGTGTTGAAGATGGATACATCGAGCGATATCTTTCAGTCTCGATTATATAGACTCAATCGTACGCTACTTTCGTTGCTGGGGCAATGGCCCTTCCAAAAGGACAGGTACAGGCGGGTTATTATTGTAACGACGTCGTTTATCGGTTTAACGCAGGCCCTTACACAGGTATGTTTTCTACATTTGAATTGTATATTGTGATTCTTATAAATCATCTAACGACCTATCTGTGTATTCCCGAGAGAGTTTCTTCTTCTGGTTTAATAATACCAAAAAATGGAAACTTTGGTAACAGCAAAAATGTAAAAATACGTAAATACTAGAAATTCAAAGTTAACAATATTTGAAGTTGGTATAAACCTTGCCGAACTTTTACATTTTGCGAAACGTATTTCTCAATCTCATCATCTTGCCGGAAAACATTTGATTCAAGGTACTCGCCTTAGTGACGTTACGCGGCGATTTTGATGCACTCATCGAATGTGCACCACCACTCATAGTAGATGGTGTGTGCATTATTAAGCTGACGACCCTGATATGTAATGTAGAGAAGGTATGCAGAAAATTTGCGGTATTAAGTGCGAAAACACATTTGTAAAAAAATGTGAATTTCAAGCTGTAGCTCAAGATGCTTCTTGTACACATACAAAGGGACTGGCGATCGTGGACCATCAAAAGCGAATTCGAAATTTTGTCCAGATTTGCGGAGAGCGGAAGAAGCATTACCATTGGTTATGCCAGTAAGAAATTATATACTCACTATTGCATTATACATTGAAATCGATAAAGCGATTATACAAACATGTTTAGCTAATAGTTTGTATTAATAACAATTGATTCCATGCTTGCGTGATGTAACGAGCCGATTAAGATGCTTATTGAAAATTAATTTGTATAACTTATTTGACGAAAAACATTATTGGCGGATCGAATTTTTATATAATCAACTTGATTATGTAAAAGCGCTCAACAGTTGCACGAATATACCTTTTTAAAGTACCGCCCGAATCTAGGTGGCATGTACGCATTTGGTAGCCTCTTTCCGTTGCTCGCTATAATCCCGAAAATAATTGGCAAAAACGTCACTTCCGACTATGCGACGCGGCCAGTGGGATTTCCATATCATGTGGAATATTACATAGACCTCGAAAAGTACTACTATCCCGTGTTGATTCATAATTACTTAACTACTGCAATTCGTCTTACCACCATAGTCGCATTCGATACCTACGTGGCTATTCTAGTGCAACATTGTTGCGCGCTGTTTTCTGTCGTCAGGTATGTATTTAATGATTTGGTTAATGACCTCGGAGAGGAAAACATTTTGAGAGATTTAGATGTTTCCTCTCGTAGATATCGGCTAGAGTATATACGAAAATCCATCGAGCAAGATAAGGAGCTCACTTTACTCCAGGAAGACGACAAGTTTTATAAAAATTTCGTATACTGTATACAAAAACACAAAGATGCCTTACGGTTAGTGCGTATCTTTGTATAATTGCAAGAGCTATAGGAACGTTTTATTTATGTGTTTCGAGAACAAAAGATGATAGGAAATGATTATCTGCTTTTCTTATTTAAGATTCGCAAGGTGCTTAGACATGGTCTACACGAAAGCGTTTTTCATAGAAGTTGGTTTTGTTATTTTGGCTATGAGTCTATCGGCTCTCCAGGTTTGCATTTGAAAAATATGTATTTTCGAAAAATACGTTTTATAAAAAAGTTGTAGGTTTTAAGTGACGTATTATATAGCGATATTGGTATGACTTTGGAAAACATTGTCAAGATCACATAAAGATCGTCTTAAAATTTTTAAGAAACCCCTAATTTTTATTACATCTTCATCTTCTTCATTAATTAATGTGTCTTTGAAACATTTTTATTTGCTCAATATTTTCTGAGATATACAAGGAAAACTTCGTAACTTTTTCACTATTTAACTTACGATATCTTGATAACTATTTGTCGGAGGAAAAAAAAGGCAGGACTTTTTAACATGACTTGTTAGTTTCAAGAGTATGCCGTTACAATAGTGCGTCAACTAGATAATTTTGAAAGCTCAAGAAGAAAATTCTAATCTCTGTCTGCAAAGAAACATAACAGAAGTGTAAATCCGATCGTGCATTTCCACACGATACACCTTGAGTAACGGTAATGTAGGTGGTAACTGTCGAGTCTCATAACTCAGAAAATACCTAATGAAAAAGTAAAAAAAAACTTTATAGCGTTTTGTAAAGTTCTTAAGATAAGCTACGTGAAGATGCAATAAAAAGTGGGGATTTCGAGAGTCTTCAACATCAACACTTAAGCTCCAACTAATATCTTTTTCCTACTCATTGTCAGAACCAAACAACTTTTATCTAAGACATTTTGCTATAATGCATACTTTTAGAGATAACAGGATGAGGCACGTAAAGTGTTACAAGTTGATCTCCGACACACACACGCGCGCGTGCGCAAACGATAAATTGCAATATTAAAATTCATTCCTTTGGAACATTTAGGCAACCAGTGGTACTTTGAATCCACACCTCGCAGTACGGCACGCCGCGTATATTATCGCTCAATTACTGCACTTATACATAGCGTGCTGGTTGGGGCAACAAATGATCGATCACAGCAATCGCGTGTACACATCGACGTAAGTCAAAGCATACTATTTCCTAATCAATGCAATGCGAATCGTGCAAATGTCCTGTATAAAATTACGTATCTTTAACACTTTATATTTGAGACCGAAGTAATAGTAAAGTTTTTGATATAAGTTACCGAGGAGAATGGTATGAATCGCCACCAAAATCCAGGAAGCTCTTGAATATGATAATGATGAGGAGCATTTCACCTTGTACATTGACAGTTGGAAAGATCATGGTTCTTTCTCTTCCGAGTTTCAGCGCAGTAAGACCTGTCATAATTTTCTTTATACAATCATTTAGTATACGTTATGTAATCGTTTCCCTACTTTTGGCTAAATTTTACTTTCTCTTCTAGGTCGTACGTGCATCTGCTTCATACTTCACAGTCTTACAATCTGTACGGTAATATTTTAGAAATTTTTCTCCTGAAAAATGTATAATTATTATCAATATAAAAATAATGTATTATACCTAAATAGCAGAGGATTGTCTATATTTGTGAGAAAATAATCAAATATACGAATATCAATATTCGTGCTTACACGTTTATCTTTTTCATAAAACATCTTTCATGTCTAATAAAAAAAAATAAGAAGAATCTTTAATAAAAGAAACAAGTAGAATCTTTAATATGTGTGCATAATAATACAACGATAATATGTCACAGTGGACCTTTGTTAAGTTTATACCTCGCAAGACTATCGTTTTCTAATATAACCGATTTCAAAGCAGCTATACCTTCTCGCGACAGTCTGGTCTTAGATCTAGACTCTATTTGTGAATAAACTTTTCATACCTCTTTTGTCTGCGTCGAATCTACGAAGAGTATACTTTCAGTGTTACTGTCCTCCTTCTCTGTAATTACGCAATTTCCATAAGATAATCTTGCGACTTTACAATGTGCGGTTTTGGTTTTTGCGGCACAAACGCGTTAGCGATAAACATTTTGGATTTTGCGACAATCAAACATTAAATAGAATTACCAAGTGGAGACCCGCACGATCTATATCCTATGATGAATTTCGCTTTTGTAATAGTAGCAGCAAGAGACTTATCTGTCTCTTAAGACAGAATGGATGATATTGATCAATTTTTCCGAGACTCGCATTATAACATCGTTCGGGTGCTATTAAGTATCAGTGGTCTATGGCCTTTTCATACGCGAAACAGGCGCTACGTGATATATCTCGCTATGGTGCTGATACTCGGATCTGGATTTATATTCGAGGTGAGCTTCAAAAGAACGCTTAGTTTCAAGATACTATTGTAGCGTCCATTATTACGCTATCTTCCTAAAAAGGTTTATGAAAATTAAATATCTCATCTGACGTCTTTCAAGTCAAGATTTCTATAGCATATGTATTCGAAAATACGCAATCGTTTACAAGTGCATTTGATTTAATTAATGTAATTTACGATCGGGCGGCTCAGTTAAATAATTTGTTACATGACGTGCCCACAATTTAATCGACGGAAAATAGATGTTGGGTGTAATTGAAGTCAGGCACGATTCCTTTGAAGTGATTGATGCTGTACCGTTGTTTAGCTTCGCAATAGTGACTATAAGTAAAACATTCTGCGTGATATATACATTACCGAAGGTGCGTAAATAAATATGATACCGTTTATTGTTAACGATTAACTAAGTAGCGATAAGATCGACAAATAAGAGAATAATCTTATCACATTTAAATCTTTTTCGAGTAATAGATTAAAGTGCTTCTTATAAAGATGCAAGAGTACTGTCTTTCCCCAAAATCGGACGAGGAGACTAAGATACAGAATTCGCACGCGCAATATGGGCGAAAGTTAGGCTACGCTTACACGGGTGACTTTAATAGCATAATCGATTTACCAAAAATAAAGCGCGGGAACAAAATTTCAAACACGTTAATATAAAAATTTAATCTCTTAAGCAGTTTTAAAATATACACGTATTGAAATGTATATATTACAGTAGCGTGGAATATGCTTGAAGACATAATGTTTGATGACAACAATTGTGAATTATGAAAATTTTTCTGCAAATTAGGTTTCTTACTAGGTCACAGTGTCCTTTATCAGTTTTCGACATTACTGACAAGATTTCTCTACACGAAATCCAAGGAGGCTGATGGGCTATCAAATAACGTTCAAATAGGACTGCCTCATCGCGTTAATTATATGGTTGATATAGACACATATTACATTCCAATTTTTATACACAGCGCCATTTGTGATTTTTCTTACACGGTCTTACTCGTTGTATTCGACGTTCTGTATCTAACACTGGTTGAATACTGCTGCGGTTTGTACGCGGCTTTGAGGTGAGTGAAACGAACGATCATTTACATACATGGGTTCTGTAAAGATATGAGTGTTTTCAACGTGAAAATAAAATAGGACAGTTATTATTTATGGCGATGATAGTCTTATGTTAAAAGCCACCGTTTCTAAAACTTGTAATAATAATTGAGCTTAGATATCGGCTGGAAACTGCCTTAGTTTTTGAAAATGATAGAACGACATTGGTGGCTACGAAAGATAAATCTTATGCGAATATCGCGTACAGTATTCGCAGACACACAGAAACGATGCAGTAAGTATGTGTTTAGACGTTTGGTATTGTATTTATTTTATCTTCGTGTGAACAATAGTAACAAATTAATATATTTGTGTACGTTATATTAGATTTGTTGCCAGCATAGAGTCATTATACAGCTTACCTCTTCTCATACATATTGGACTGACCGTACTTATTTTAAGTGTCCTAGGATATCAGGTATATCTGATGAAAAATCTTACACGATTATAGCAATTCTTGAATGTGCTTTTACAGTGCACATAGAAATTACGTAATAAATTACTTTGTAAATAATTTAATTAATTTTATTTATTATATCCTATGAATTATGCATCTCACTGCTGTATAGGTGATAACCAACACGGAAAATGTTAATGGCATTTTAAAACCCATCGCTTATCTAAACGGACTTGTAATTAACGTTTTCTTTGAAAACTGGCAGGGTCAGAAAATTATAGATTCCAGCGAGAAAGTGTTTGAATCTGCGTACGTTTTGTATAATATTAACGATAGCACTTTCGGAAAATCACGAGTCATGTAATCTACTATAACGTAACAAGTAGACAAATACATAACATAATTTCGAAATTTTTTCAAAATTTGCAGATATAATTCAGAATGGTACAGTATGCCGGTAGCATCGAGAAAGCTTCTTATAATGATGATGATGAGAAGTGAAAGACCATCGATACTAAGAATGGGCAAATTTGTTGTGTTGTCATATGTCACTTTTAATACGGTAAGTGTAAGTGTTTTATGTAATGTATACGTGCAATTACTGTGTAAAAATAAAATTTTGTTTAAGGTATTGCGCACATCTTCGTCGTACTTTATGCTACTGCGATCTTTGTAATACAAATTATGAACATAATTAATAATATTTAGATTTGCATATTATCATTTATCACACGCTAGTAACATAAACGAGATCTTGTTAGATTGCACGTTCATAAGCTAACTTTCCTTCCAGTGCCTTTTCTGTAGATAATTAAATAAAGCTATAAAAAAAACATTAATTTTTCAAGTAAACTCCTTCTAATATAATAAATCTACGTTAATCTGTTAAAAACTATCGTATGAAATATTTATTTTGATATACAAAAAATTTTTCTTTCCAAAATTGCTGTTATTATTATTTAAAAACTTGGCATTAAATTCGTAATAAGTAAATTATAAATATTTAACAGTAATCTATAATAAACAACTCTACATATGCTATATAGAAAGTTTTTGTAGCGATTAATATTAAAAATAAAATATTTAAAAGTTCTTATTAGTAACATGTGTAACAACTATGAATTATACAGGAGATACTTATTAGAAATTAGTTTACATATGAATATTTATTCGATTAATTTACTAATTTATCGATACAATTTGAGGATACTTTATTTGATATGAAAATCATTAAATTGCATTTTTATTAAATTAAATTAAATTTTAAGTATTCAATAATTATAATCCGCCATGTGTAAATTGCCGTGTAAGTTACCTCTCAATTACTACATTTATCGCACATTGGTTGGGGCAAAAATTAATCGATCATAACGAACGCGTGTTAACATCGACGTGCAGAGTTAAAACGTACAACTAACACAAATCGAGTAAATATTTTACACAAAATTAAGTTATCTCGTTGCTGACACATAATATTACAGCTCTTTTACACGTTCTTTGCGAGTTACGAAGACAACGACTCATACTTAAATTTAGCTCTTAAATATAATAATGCTGAGGAGCACTATACCTTGTACCTACGTTGGACTTTAGAAAGATTATGAGTCTTTCTCTTCTCCTAGTTTCAGCACAATACGATCTATCATAATTTTCTTCATATAATCACTTCTCTGGTGATATTTTCGGTAACTCTCCTTATTTTTTAAATCGTACATGCATCTGCTTCGTATTTCACAATCTTATGATCTGTATGATAATACCGACCTTTCAAAATTTCTGTTCTGAAAAATATAAAATTATTATTAACATAAAGCATATACAATTTAAAATTTTACAATATTATAATCTATGGTTTAAATAATAGCAGAACATAAACGCGAGAGAATAATTTAATATAAAAGTATCAAAATTATATATATACCTTTATCTTTTTAATAAAAACATTTTCGCATCTTTAATATAAAATAGTATAGAAAATCTTTAATAATACAATGTCAGTACGTAATACAATTGAACCTTTAATAAACTTACACTTCTCAAGACTGTCATTTTCTAATGTAGCCGATTTCAAAGTGGTTATGTCTTTTCATGGTAGTCTGGTCTTACAATCAACTCTACTTGCGAATAAAATTTTCATACCTCTTTTGTCTGCATCCACAAAGACGTTTTCAGTATGGCTGTTCTCTCTCTTTCTCTCTCTCTCTCTCTCTCTGATTACGCAATTTCCATAAGATAATCTGCGACCTTACAATGGGTGATTTTAGCATTTGCGGCACAAACACATCCGTATGTTAGACAAAAATATTCAACATACATCTCCGATTTTACGACAATCAACATTAAACGGAATTTTTAATAGGAGATTGATGACGGCAATGCTTCATGCTGAAATTGACGGTCTACGTTGGTAATGTGAATTTCGCTTTTGTAATAATAGCAGTAGGAGACAAGAGAGACGGAATGGATGATATCGAGCAGTTCTTTAAGGATCGGCATTATAACATCGCACGAATACTATTAAGTATCTGTGGAGTATGGCCTTTCAATACCCGAAACAGGCGCTACATTATATATTTTGCAATGACACTGATGCTCGGATCTGCTTTTATATTCGAAGTAAGTTAAAGAAATTCCATTATTTTAAAATAATGCTGTCGCATGTGCGTAGTATCGTAGGTTCCGTTATTGCTCTACTTTTCAAAATATCTATAAACAAAATGAAATAGCTCTTCTTACACCGTTTCGTTAAGACATCTACAGAATGCACATATCAAAATTCTCCTTCACTTTACAATACATTTGATAAGTTACATCAGGAATGTAATTTACGATCGGGCAATTCAATTTAAATTATTTGTTACACGACATTCACGTAATGTAATCGATGGAAATTACAGATATTGGGTATAATTGACATTCGGCACGATTCCGTCGAAATAATCGATGCTGTGCCGATGATATGTTTTACTATATTGTGCGCAAGTAAAATGTTTTGTGCGGTACATACACTACCACAGGTGAGTAAATAAACATTGCATTATGTATACCAACGATAAACGATGATTGACTAATAATAAAAGCAGTAGCACTAAGTTCGAAAAATAAAATAAAATCTTATCACATTTAAATCTTTTTCGAGTAATAGATTAAAGTGCTTCTCATAAAGATGCAAGAGTACTGTCTTTCCCCAAAATCGGACGAGGAGACTAAGATACAGAATTCGCACGCGGAATATGGGCGAAAGTTAAGCTACGCTTATACGGGTGACTTTAATCGGACTTAACAACAATATGCAGTGCAACCATAATAACAGATTTTTAAAATTTTTAACATAAAAATTTTACTTCTCAAGCGGTTTTGAAATACTATATCGACATATTACAATTCTTTCAATACGTTTGACATTTAATTGATACTTTAAAAAATAATAAAGATTAAATTATTATGTAAATTTTTACGGCAATAATCATAAATTATGAGAGTTTTCCTACAAATTAGGTTTCATACTAAGCCACAGTGTCGTTTATCTACTTTCGACATTATTAGCAAGACTTGTCTACATGAAATCTGAGAAAATTGATGAGACATCAAATGCACAAATAGGACTGCCTCATCGCGTTAATTACATTATTGATCTAGACACGTATTACGTTCCAATTTTTATACACTGCGCGATATGCGACTTTACGTTGACATTCTTATTAGTTGTATTTGATGTTCTGTATTTAATAGTGGTCGAACACTGCTGTGGTTTGTTCGCGGCTTTGAGGTAAATCTAATAAATTACAATGATTTTAATGATGGTATAATTTATCTATCGCAATTATTCTTGTTGAAAAGTAACTGTTAAAAATTTTGTAAAAATATTGAGCTTAGATACCGGCTGGAAATTGCGTTAGTTTTCGAAAAAGAACAATTGTCGACGACAAAGGATAAATCTTATTCGAATATCGTGTACAGTATTCGCAGACACGTAGAAACAATGCAGTGAGTATGTAGTTAATAGTGCATTTAAGTGTGTAGTATTAATTATCATTGTATGAGCAATAGTAAGAAATTAATGTGTTACATTAGATTTGTTGCCATTATGGAGTCAGTATACAGTTTATCTCTTTCTATACACATTGGGATGACTGTATTTCTTATAAGTTTTCTAGGATATCAGGTACATCTAAAAATGCTTTTGTGATTGCAACAGTTCTAGGATGCGCTGCTATATTTCATACGCAATTTATTTAATAAGACATATTTAGCAAAGCTAATTAATTAAACTAAACTTACAACATTATATTAATTATATATTTAATTGTTCTATAGGTGATAAACGATATGGAAAATCTTGATCGTATTCTCAAACCTATAGCTTTATTAAATGGAGTTTTAATTAACCTTTTCTTCGAAAATTGGCAGGGTCAGAAAATCATAGATTCCAGCGAGAGAGTGTTCGAATCTGCGTACGTTTTGTGTAATAAATTAGTACTTTTGTAAAATCATCTGTCACGTGGACCACAAAAACGTAACAAAATACGAAGCAGATAAATACATAGTTTCGAAATTTCTTTCAAAATTTACAGATATAATTCAGAATGGTATAGTATGCCGATATCAGCGAGAAAGCTTCTTATAATGATGATGAAGAGAAGTGAAAAACCATCGATACTAAGAATGAGTAAACTCGTTGTACTGTCATATGTCACTTTCAACACGGTAAGTGTAAGTGTTTTATGTAATGTATGTGTGCAATTACTCTGTGAAAATAAAATTTTGTTCAAGGTTTTACGTACGTCATTGTCATACTTTATGCTACTACGATCTTTGTAATAAAAACGTAATTACGTAGGAACGTAATTAATAATATTTATATTTGTCATTTATACGCTAGTAACAGAAATGAGATCTTATTAGATCGCACGTTTATAAGTTAACTTTCTTTCCAGAGCTTTTTCTGTAGATAATTAATTAAAGCTGTAAAAAGCTATTGATTTTTAAAATAAAGAAAATTTCTTTTAAAATGGAAAATACACATTAATCCGTTGAAAACTATCATATAAAATATTTATTTCGATATAAAAAAGCATTTCCCTTTGAATACCTCTTATTATTCTTAAGAATCTTTAATGGGGTGAGTATAACAATAGCTTGCTCAGTACATACACCTTTTAAAATTTTAAATTTTATATAATTTAATTTAAGATATAATATGTACCACCGTCGTATTTTATGCTATTACAATCTGGAGCCTTCTTCTGAGTAAACTCAGTCAACAGCTTAGGTTCGATTTGCATAATAAAAGTGTTTTTACTTTTCGCCTATGTGCCCTACAAGCGAAGATATATCGCGACGCAAAGTTGAAAATGTCGGAAAATCATTTAAGAAACATCGTCGTCATCGTTGACCAAGCAGTGGTGGGGTTTGCTGAACGTAGCAGATATAAAAATACACAGTCGTGTACTTACCGTAGCACTGCGTTCTATTTTACACAACCATTTTACTTTATTACGGACTTTAATACAGAGGTGTTATACAATGGTCAGTCCCACAATAACTATCGTTAGCCTCGTCTAAGAAATGACGTTTCTTAAATGATTTTTCGACATTTTCAACTTTGCGTCGCGATACCTCCGCTTGTAGGGCACGTAGACGAAAAGTAAAAACAGATATTATATAATAATACATATAATAATATTCTAAGAGAAGTTTTACGAAAAATATACATTGATAGTATTAAATTTTATGTATATAAATGTTTTTCTGTTAGTTGTGAGATTTGTAATTCATAGCGTTAATTATGCTTAATCGATAATTAATAATAATTAAATTAAGATTCAAGTTAAGATTCAAAAGTTAGCTGTGATATGCAAAAGAGATTTTCCCAAACAGCGAACTTCTAAACGCCATTATACTCTTGTTCCTTTCTAACATGTTATATAAATTTATCGCATGTAATTATGAGTAATTTGTATTGTCGATGAAAAATAACCTATGCAACAAATTTTATTTGTTAGTTACAATTCAAGATGGTATTCATTTTCCATAAACACTCGAAGATTACTAAAAATACTTCTTTGAAGAAGTCTTATTCTATGTACACTCACGGTTGATATGTATAGTTCGGTGCGTCTTTATGACAAAAATCTTTTATAATTTTACGTAATACATATTTATATATTGTAATAGATTGATATTCCATTTTAATGTTGAAAAATTAAAAAAATTTTTGACATAATCAATTACAGAAAATATTGAGATATTGTAGATATATTCACTGATGTGCGTAAATCTATTTATATAATATGTAATATTTTTTTTACCTTCTTAAAGATTCATAATTTTAATGTATCTCACATAATTTTTTCCTTACGCACTCGAAAATCCATAACGAGTCGTTACGATGCAAAGGCCGTATTCTTCATGGTTCGATTGATCAACTACCTTTTGCTGTAAAAATATTATGTTTTTAATCATTTCCAGACAATTCGCAATTATCGTAACAATATGTTGTTCTTACTACTACAAAAACATTTTCTTTTAATTTAACAAGAATGAGGAATACAACTGTTTTCACCTGAAAATTACGTATTTGTGATATACAGGGTGTCTTGCGGTGATTGAATCCGCCGTAAAAGTTAAATAGAGCGAGGCAAACTGAATCGTTACAACAATCAGCCCTAAATAACTTTCTGTCACTGTAGTAGTGTTCCAGTGTAGTTCTGATTTGCGATAGGTACCACTTGCTTGTGCAATAGAAACCTTCTGTCCCGTTTATTCTTCATATATGTATGTTTTTTTATCGCCATTGACAATCAATAAAATATCGACGACCAGTTATATGTACTTCGATACATTGCGTACATATCGTTTTGTGCTTCGCCGATATATCACTATTGTTTTCTTCTAATGAAATAATACTTCAACCTTTTCACTCACAAAAATAATTTGTAATGTATCTACGTATGATATGACCAAAGTCTTGTTGCAAACTACAATACAATATGGAACGTTCTCGATATTGATCAATTCAATATTAATACTTAATATCTTGCACGACTCGTTTGACAATCCGGTATTATCAAGTTGACAATCCGATATTACCGTAATGATATGTTCTGCATGTTCGCATCACTTTTCCCTCGTGTCGTACATTTAACAAAGGGAGCTGACCCGCGATGGTACATATGTACATACAATATCCTACGAATATAACATGAATCCGGAAATGGAAAAATACTTTGCCACCAACAAAATCTTTTTATCGCGAATCGGTGGCTGGCCATATCAGCGTAAAGTACTAAAAATATTGATACCGTGTCTTTTCTTAATGGTGTACTATTCTACAGTTGTAACTCAGGTAATATAGTATTAATTATCGTATTAATTACGCATGTAGTAGTAAGTGGTGTAAACATGTCAGCGAACAGTTGGTAATATTGCTAAATAGAGATCAACTTTTTTTATCAATAAAGATGTATAAAAATATATTTGTTACTTACTCACATTTGAATACCGTTGATGTAATCATTGATTTATAGGTGCTTCTATTATACGATACTTGGGGTGACATAAATGTTGTTGTTGAGTGTATAATTACCCTAACTTCTCTTTTCGTCGCTTGCATTAAGTTAATTAACATCACTGTGAATAATAACAAAGTGAGTTGTCAAATGGATCACGTGTATTTGCTGTTATAATTTCTGTTTGTATTGTTGATCAGTTTCGACGACTGTTGCAACTTATGAATAAACATTGGGAGCTTTTTAACAGCGAACATGAACGTCATATCCTGAGATATTATGCTACTATCGGCCAAAAAATAACAAGTTATTTTGCAGGTACAGAAATAATTATTTTAAGGCTTTAAAGAAAAAATGTCAACTACTGTAGTCGCAAGGATGTTCATTGCGTTCATTTCTTTTGTGTGTAAAGTAGGAAAATCTTTTGTCTTTCAATTAGAATTAATTTATATTTTTTCGAATATATTTTCTGAAATGTAAAATTGCACAAATATTATTTTTGTACAAAATGTATACAATTGCATACAATTTGTATACAATTATAAAATATCCATACCGTAAAAGAGCATTCTTAATATTTACAAGTAATAAGTCGCATGCATGTACCTTTCCTCAGTCTACTTTGCCACAGTCGTCATATTTTATTTGGTAATTCCATTACTACCAAGAATCTTGGATATCGTAATTCCCTTAAATGAGTCACGGCCATTGGCATATGTATATCAGGCTGAATACAGAGTGGACAAAGAGAAGTACTATTATCCAATTATAATTCATTCTTACATTACGAGTACAATGACAGGAGTAATTTTGTTCACCGTTGATAGCACTTATATAGTGTGTGTATTACATGCATGCAGTCTGTTTACAGCTGTCAGGTGAGTCAAATTAAGCACAAGATCGTAATCTTCCTACGTCTTTTACAAATCTATTTCCGAGAGAAGTTAAGTTTCGTCGAACGAATAAACTTGGAGAAACGCATACAAAATACGAGCGGTAATTTACATTTAATTTCATAGCCAGTGCCTTGAAAATATTATTGGTGATGCAAACATTACACCAGATGACGATGGAACAATACATTCAGGGACACAGTATCATCTAGAAATCTATATGGAGAAACACGGCAATGATTATCGTGAATTAATGATATGCTTGAAAAAACATCAACATGCATTAGAGTCTGTACCATGTGAAATTCTGTTGACCATAATAATAGTGGCTTTAACGATTTTAATGATGTGGTTTGACCATCCATTCTAACATTTATTCGACCATTTATATTAAATCATTTTATCCGATCTCCTCTCTCTTTCACTCTCTAGACAAGTAGAGACGCTGAATTCCATGTTTACCCAAGCGACATTCATTCTTTTATTTCTGAATGTGCTGATATTGAGTGTGTGCGGAATACAGGTGAGCATTTAAGAAGTTACAGTTTTTTGTCAAGAATACATTTTATATATAGTGTACTTACAAATTTTATAGCTTATTAATAACTTGGCGAATACTGGAGAAGTAATAAGATACACTTTTATAACTTGGGCTTCATTTACTCATCTCATATGCATGTGTATTCCTGGACAATTGATAATAGACCGAAGCACAGAAATCTTCGACAAGGCGTAAGAATTCATGATTTGTATAATATTTTAAACTTTAAATGCAATTAAGAAAAGTTTTTCAGATCTCATGCACAATATTCTCTTCCAATATCTTCGATTATTAAAAATCAAATTTTTAACCTTTCGTTTCTGAACTTTTTCAAAAATAATTTTTTAACTTATTTATTGAAAATTAAATTTTATATAGCATAAAATAAAATCAGTTTGTGTGATCTAAATAATGAAGAAATAATATAATTTTACTGCTAATTTGAAAATTTAATTTAAATCATAATGCTAATTAATACTAAAATTAATTCCAATTACTGTTAAAATTGTAAAGAATTATATGCAAAATAGCTTTTTTGTAATGGTGATATTTTCTTTCTAATATTGTGTCAATTTGTGGCATGCGTGCGTGCGTGTGTTATTCAGTGCTTATCCCTATAATAGCCGCATATTACCTTTTATTTCGTGCTCTCATTTACGCGGGTATGTACAGGAGAACAGGAATTACTTTCAACACTATTCAATAACACGTACAGTCAAATACCAAATTTTAATTGATAAAGTTGTCCTAGTCGATAACACTAATTAAATTAATCAATTTTTTCTTGAAATCTATTTTGCCTGGACACAAGCAATAAAAATACTACTAGGTTTACTCTTTCAAATGAGTAATTTTTAATTCCCTTAAACTTTTTCTACAAAGATAAAAGCAATGATTCATCCATATCTTTTTACTAGTACAGTTGAAAAATTATGAATTACTTATACATATTGTTAATAACAAATCAATTATAACACGCATCTTTTCTGTTAGGTACAGTTCAGCATGGCATACATTTTCCATAAAAACTAGAACATTATTAAGAATACTTCTTTACAGAAGTCTCACTCCGTGTACGCTCACGGCTGGAAAGATGTTCGTTATGTCCATGACTATGTGCAGTTCGGTACGTTTGATTTATTTCGCGCGTACATATCTAAAAAAGTATTATAATTTTATAAATGTAATAAGCCAACGTTCAATTTTAAGGTGATGCAAACTGCTATGTCGTATTTCACCGCCTTTTTATCCGTAAGATAAAGGTGCCGTTGCAATATTGTGTATATCTTCACAGAATTATAATATCCAGGAAACCCATTGCAATCATTGTGTTTTATAAAGGATAAGTGTAACCATAATAAAGCGACATATTTCACATCAGACAAATATGAATAAATGTATATATACCCACGCAGTACAAAATTTCACAAAAATGTCTGGGATATATTGTATCTAAATATTACAATATGATACAAATCTGATATACAAAAATTATTTAGATATCGCTCGGATATCTGAGAGATGTCTTTCAGATTCTAAAAATTCACGATTATTTCATCTGAGATATGATACCTGATTTTATATAAAATATTAGATATCTATATTTTCGTGAAATTGGAGAAATGAAATATATTTTTTCTTTAGGAGCACAGCCTCCATAAATCAGCCTTTACTTTTTTATACTACCTATTATTGTAAACTCATATTTATCTTTTTTTCATTTTTTGACCGTACTATTTTTGTGTCTAGATAAACTTAGAAAACTTATATTTTGAAGACAAGTTAAATAATGAACAATTAATAATTATACATATACATACCCACA